CTGGCTGGGGAATTCTGGGAGTTGAAGTCCACACGTCTTAAAGTTGCCAAGTTTGAGAAACCCTGGCTTATAACAACCCTCCAGTGTAGGCCAACGAATGTTTATTCTCCTTGGGTTGCAGCGAGCTTAAGCATGCTTTATATCATGTGCCAATATTAGACAGAAGTCCTTGTGTGTTTTATTAGAGAAATGCAACAATGCAAACACAAGATTTTATTGCACCATAGCAAACTCAAGGCAGGTTTATCAGATAATGATATAGGCTGTATAAATATTGCAAATTTCTGGATTTGTTTTTAAAAGCCCTGAAATTATTTACCCATCTTGAAACCAGACAGTAAAGCAAAAGATTTCTGACACCCCCCTCAGATGGCAGCCCAGATCAATTATTCTGCATTTATGTATTTTAAAAGTTGCTTGTCCTTCGCAAATCAACCTTGAATAAGGTTCTCTTCAGACTGAGCTCAACTCTTTAGTCCTGCTGCAAGAATTGGGATGACCCCTAGATGACACCAGGGAGTCCAGGTTTTCTGCATCGCTTTGCTCCCATCTGGTGGTCCCCTAAAGCTTTGCAAGCTACACCTGGTAGCCCTAATTCCCATTGCCTCCTTCCTTTCTCCATTCAGCTTCAGAGCTAGGACAGAACATTTATCAATTAGAACTTAGATACACTCCAGTAATGTGTGATTAATAACAGCAGCTTGACCTGCATGAACAGCAATGGGGCCAAGGAAGATCTGTCATGTTTTCTACAATAATTGTGAAGACTTCCTTAAATTGTGCTTGGCTTCTGGGCCATGAGGTTTTCCTAAGGGCAACATAGAAGTGCATGCCTTCTTCTGGGATGTTTTTTCAATTTCTGATCTCCCTGGGAACTCCTGGTGGTCTCCCATCCAAGTTCCAATCCTGTTTATCTTTTCAAGCTCTGGTGAGGTCAGCTAGGTGGAGCAAGTGAGCAACCTAGGTAGGCATTTGCCTTAAACTTCCCTAGCCTACAACTCAAATCCTGTATTCAACTATACAGCCTCACTTGTATGCTAAGCATTTGGTATCTCTCTTTGGGGTCATTGACCAAACAGCCAAATATAAAGCTTCACAAGTATCGTACGTTGCTACCTTATCAACCTGGCACATTAGTTTGCATCTCGACATCTTCAAAAGGCTGAATTATCTCCCACCATAGCCTTGCCCAACCTGGTACTCTCCTGGGGTCTTACACTACAGTGTCCAGGATTCCCAGCCAGGGACGAGGGCAAATTATGGGTGTTCAACTTCGGGGTACCTGGAGGGCCTCTGGTAAAGAGCCATGGAGATTCAGGCTGAAGCCTGCCCTCAGGCATGGAAGCTCATGGGGGGACCTGGGCCAGTCCCGAAATCACCCTGACGTCTCATGGGATGGGCATGTCACCAAGACCCCTTTCCTGGGTGATAAATATGTATCTTGCAGAATTCACTCTGTGCATGCCTGGGTGTTTAATCAGTACCCCTCCCTTTGTTGTTGTTATAGTCCTTCAAGTCAGTCTTGACTTCTGGAGTCTTCGTGGTCAAGTCCATGAAATTTTCTTGGCAATATTTTTGGGAGAGGTTTGCCCATGCATTCTTCTTCCTAGGGCTGGGAGAGACGGACTGGCACAAAGTCACCCAGTTGGCTTTCATGCCTAATGCAGCACCAGAACTCAGGTCTCCCTACTGCTAGCCTTGAACCACCCTGGCTCTCACTCCCTGCCTTTACTGTGCATAAATATTTACTTTGCAGAATACACTTTGCAGATGCCCAGAGTTCCACCCCACCCTGTTCAATTACAATTCAATTACCACCCCATGTCTACTTGATTTGCTGTGCCTGTTTTGGTTAGGGCAGTCTTTCTCAAGCTTAGCAACTCTAAGATGGGTGGACTTCAACTCCCAGAATTCCCCAGCCAGCATCTTAAAGAGAAACATTGAATTAGGGTATGTCTCTTCCTTCTACTAAGGTTATTGTCATGTTACTTCTTGTTTTGTTTTTAACAACTGTACCTATTTTTAATTTGGACACTGCCCCTATTCAGTGTTAAGTTGGGCAGCCTTATAAATTATAAATACATTAATAAAAATTGTTCCTTTCTCTTGCTGTTTGAATCAGCGTTCATTTATACGGTCAGCAATTAAACCTTGTAAAAAAAAAAAAAAAGCAGGGGGGATTCATTTTCAAAAAGCAAATGGTGATTTTAAAAAGTTCTTCTTTCCTGCAAAGGCTTTTACAAAATGTTCATTAGGGTTTTGCATCCTTCAAAAAACACCCAAAATAGGACATGGTTGCTATGTTCATTTAAGGAACTGCATTTAAAACACCACAGAAAGTATAGGTTTTCAAAAGGCAGGCAGTTGCTTTAAAAAGTTTGGGTTTTATTTCCTCCAAAAGAAGCTCAGAATAGTGGTTTGCCTGGTGTGTTCATTTCAGGGACTGCATTTAAAAACCTAAAAAAAAAAAAAGACTAGGATTGACAATGACCAAGGTTTACCCATGGGGAATACAGACATCATTAGGTCTGTTAATGATTAATTTTAAGATTAGCAAAGATTAGGCTAAGAAAATTAGGACTAACCGTGTGGTATCTGGTAGGGTGGATGATGTCAGAATTGTATGAGTTTTGTTTACTTTGGTGACATCAAACTACAGAAATACACACACACAAACACACACATTTTCTATCTATCTATCTATCTATCTATCTATCTATCTATCTATCTATCTGTCTATCTGTCTATCTGGAAGTGCCTATCTGATATGCATCTAGGCTGAAGTCCTTTCTGGACAGTTCATTTTCATTTTCTTTTTCTTTTAAAACTCTGTCATTAATTTTAGATTCCTCCAGTTTAAAGCATGATTGGAGCTTCCTTTCAGAGCAGCGGCCAAACTGATCATTCAAGTCCTCAAAAAATGCAGCAGCTGATGAGAAGAGGAAGAGTTTTAGGATAGCAACTCCCTAGAATCTCCCAGGGTATATCCACTTGGTTAGAGTAGTACAGGTTGAGTCTGGCAAGACTGACGCCTGGCCCAGCTGAAGAACAACAGGGAAACAGTCCAGCCAAGATCAGTTCTTTTACTGCTTACACCATATGGACAGAATCTTGCCAGACTCAATCTGTACTACGCTACCCTAGTGGATATACCTGGGAGATTCTAGGGAGTGGCTATCTTAAGTCTCTTCTTCCCACGCACCTGCTCTGGACTGTGTTGCCTCTTGTCTCCCCGCTTTCCATCCCAGAATGCTGTCCCTCCTTCCTGAGAACCTGCTGCTTTATTGCTTTCATTGCATTCCATCACAGTTTTATAGCCTATCCTTTCCCCACAGAGCTCAGAACAATGTAAGTAGGCTATAAAACACAATATCCTTGTGAAGTTAGGCTAGATTGAGGCTGACCTGACAGTGTATAAATACGAATCCAAGCCTTTTTGATCCAAATTTGGGAAAGTATGCAAAACTTAGATCATGTGTTTAATCATTCAGTACATTTGATGGAACAGATACCTGCTGTAATGTACAGGATTTCATAAGCAACGTCTTCAGAGAAGTTCCTGAAAGATTGGAGACAGTGGGGTTTTCAGCAGACAGAAATACAACAATGAAAAGCTGATTGGAATTGTTGAGGAATCGCTCAATAGAAAGATTTAGAAGGATGGATCAAAGGAAAAGTAAAATCACACCCATCCAGTTTGTTTAGCCAGAAAATTAAAATAAATGTTGATTTTGTTTATTTCTTGCAAGGTTGATTTATCTCCCCATGGAAGAAGGAAGAGCTGGAACCTTTGGCCCCATGCCTTTACTCTACAGGGCTAGGAAATTGAATAACAGCGATTTCATTTTTTTTTCTTTCAATTTTTACTTTTTATTTGCCAGGCAGCACCTTTTGTGAGACCCCTCCTCTCTCACAGACTGGGGTTAGCGAAAAGACACTACATGAGATGCCCCCTGAAACATACCCTAAGTGTTGGCAGGGGTAACTACCAAGAGCTAACACCAGGATGAGAGGAATTAAGCAGTTCTACACCCCTTATGGACTTTTTGCTAAAAAGAAAAAAGAAAAAAAATGGACTTGTGATTTATGGGTTTGATGATTGGAAAGGGTAGACTATGGAAAGAAGGAAATTATGTTGTAATCTTAGAGAAAGGGTAAAATATAAATGTGCTTGCAACCGCTGTTGAGAAAATCGGAGATTGCTTCTTCATAACTTTTGCAGCTTAGGAATTAAGCAGTTCTACAGCACCCCTGGGCTTTTCAGAACAGCCCAATTCCTTGCCAAATTTCCCGGAGAATTCTCCCGAAGGAACAAAAATCACTCTAAAGTCCATTTGCAAAAATAATCAGAAGGAAATTAAGACGGGATGCATCTTTTTAAATATATCTTCCCTAATAAAAATGTTGCAGAAAGGGAACAGGCGAGAAGTTGGTCTGTACAACAGCATTACCTAGCTTTGCATCTTTTTTTTTCTTCCTTTACTGTTCTCTTTCCAGGAAAGTAAGATGGTAGCTGCAAAGGAATATTTCTGGACAAATCTGGGAGGGACGAGAAAATGAGTAACAGCATAATTTTAGGCTGGGCACTAAATGCTAGCTGTCACGCCTTCACCTCTGGAAGGGTTCCTGGTCTTTCTTGTTTTTCGCATAAAACTCATGGAGAAGGGAAAGAATGGTAGCTGCAAAGCCAGATGCTTCGAGGCCAGATGCTGTAGAGCATTGTTGTCCAACCTTGGCCACTTTAAGATGAGTGGCCTTCAACTCCAAGAATCCCCCAGCCAGCATGCTGGCT